TGTTTTGGTCGCACCAATTGGTGCGAATATCCACTTTGTTCTTTTATACTTTCTGCAGCAGAATATTGAAATATTACTTTGTTTTCAGTTTATCAACTCTGATATTGTTGAAGAATTAGCTTCAAAAACCGATGCTTATTTTCAAAAAAAATTCTTGTACTAGAAGCACCTATTTACTTAAATGAGACACTCACCAGTTCTGGAGCAATTAATGACTCCGTTGCTGGTGCTGAAGGTGATGGTATTGCCATGATAGACTTGACCAAGTCACAGGCTAGCAATAATTTTGGTGCTGGTCCTCAAACTGACAATTTTGTCCTGCCAGAGTCGACCCATTCAGGAGCTAGCAATAATTTTGGTGCTCGTCCTGAACTCGATAATACTGTCTTGCCAGAGTCAACCCAAAATCCTTGCACCTCTACTCCAAAAAACTGTAAGTAACCTTCAGTTCATATTAACTGCTGATCTGTGTTAAATGTGTTGAGGAGATGTGCTTTGTTTGTCCGCAGCAACAACTGCAGAGGTTGTTGATCAGGAAAAACTTATCTACATATTTCAAGGATGTTCCCGTGAAGAGTGTTGTGTTGTAAAGTATATGTGTGTTCCGAATCTAGTGTTTTCAGTGAATACTCATGTGAGGGTTGAACGATGGAGAAGGATAAAAACAACCACTTGTTTACGCTGGGCTGGCCAAACTCGTAGTGACCGAGTGGCGAGAGAGTTTATTGATTGTCCACAGGATGGCGCTGGTGTCGCAGACAAGTGAATGTAGAAGTCAGTCTATTGGGTAGTGAATGTACATGGCGGAGATATTTGAATATATACATAGATAGAGATGGAAGCATTAATTATTTACAACATCCCCCCTTAATGCGGAATCTCGAAAGACAATTAACAATTTAACGACTGAACTTCACACCAAAAATTACCAACAACTCTCAACCACGCAATTTTAAAAGGAAAAATAAGCCACAGCAAATACCCTCTCCATTTGGCTAGGGAACAGGGAAAACCCAGTGGGTCCAAAAACCTGTTCCAGAGTAGTATTGATTAACTGAAATAAATACATATTAAATAACAATAAAA